ACATTGAAAAAACACCAACTCGTTGGCCGGCGACAGCCATGACGTCACTACCGGTGCGACTATAGTATAAATAGATAAATAGATAAACAATCGACGTGCACTGCGAGCGTTTTTTCCAAGGAAAAAGGAGGAAAGAGGGGCAGCCATATGCTTCCCGCGATTCAGGACCCGCCGCTGCTGAAGCACGGAAGGGAATGAGCTCGTGGGGATCGCAGGTGGATCTGGCCGATGAGTTTGAAGAGGGGTTTCCCTTTTGCGATCGTCGGCTGTGCACGAGAGTGAGCCGCTGGAGTAAACTTAACTTATACACTTAAGGGCTTTTGGCGGGGAAGCGTTTTTTTCTAAAAGACGAGATAACTCGTCAATGGCGGGGAAAGAATTAATAAACAACTATGTAAATTTTAAAATATAAAAAAAAAAAAAAAAAAATTTTTTTTAAATAAGCCCCAAAAGAAAGACACATTTATACCTGCATCAGCGCCGTACTCCAGCGTTCCCTTCCTGTGACTGATGCCCAGCAGCTGAGCAGGATGCAGCGATGCAGCTTCTAATGCAGCTTCTACTGTACAACCTACACACACACACACACCAGTATAAAACCTCTATGATGGACACACATAGTACTATAATGGTATAACCTGCAGCCAGTTCCTCGGGATTCCTATACAGTGAACATGCGAGTGTAATCAGACACACTTGACACACACTGACCTGATGCCTCTCTGAAGTGTCTCACACACATGTCCATGGTCGCAATACTGCCACTCAAAGTTGTAGTGCCTGAAATCACGAATGAATAAAAACATGCTATAAAAAATTTTTGGGAAATTTATCTTGTATAGCACCACAAATCTACGTAAACAAAACACTCAAAATCATCTCATAATTAAGAGCAATAAATAATAATACCACGCAAAGCATTTCACAGTAAAATAACATGTAATAAAAATGTATGATAAAATATCACAAAATAATACAATATAATATGGATCAATCAAATACTTTTTTCCAAAATCTTATTTTCTAAAATACACTAACATTCAAAGTTTGGGGTCAGTAAGTTTTTTTTTTAAGAAATGAATACTTTCAACTGAGAAAGGACACATTAAATTGAACAAAATTGACAGTAAAGACATTTATAATGTTACAAAAGATTTCTATTTCAAATGAATGCTGTTCTTTTGAACTTTATATTCATCAAAGAGTCAGCAAAGGATCGTGTGACACTGAAGACTGAAGTAATCCTGCATCACAGGAATAAATTACATTTTAAAATATATTCTTTAAAAAACTGTTATTTTTCTTTATGAATATACCCCAAACTTATATCTGTTTTAACTCTGCACCTTGTTATTCAGTAGTTTAAATAACATAATATTCAAACAATAATTAAAAATGCTCTAAAACAACCCTACAATCAGCAACCTGCAACAGTATTATTACAAAGAATTTTACTCAAACTTTTCGGTATGGTTTGAAATGCCTTTCACTTTCTA